AAATTTTTCTTGCGGGACACGGCGGGTAGTCCCGAGCGGGCAAGATAGCTCCATCTTGCCCGCTCGGGTAGCCAATCACAGCGCAGTATTTGATTCATCTTGCCCGCTCACGGAGCTAGCCATATAAGATTAAATAAATGTTGAATGTGTATAGTGGTCGGTACGCTTAGCCACAATCAGCTAGTTCTCTGGCATCCCACTCAAACTGAAAGAAAGAAATATTTCAAATAAACACAGTAGGCTTAAAAATCTCAACAGGCTGAAGGCAGACCAGTTGGCTGTTTAAAAGCATGCTCGAGGAGTTGAATTCGGGTCTGTCGAGAAGCAACTCCAGGTCTGAGCAGGACTTCAGATTTCAAGTCCGGCGCTCTGACCACTCGGCCGCGCCGCCTCCCTGATTGCTTCATACAAGTCAACGATGGCAACTCTGCCCGGCTGCATTTCACCTTTTGTCCTCAAACCAAAGTTTAACTCTTAAAACGGACCAGTTGGAAGTTAGAACATTAAGTCTATGTTAATTTTAAGTAAAGAAATTAATTAAACCCATCGATCAATTGACCGTGGCTGCCTGGGTAACCCCAGTGGTACCCGATTTAGCCGTCTACTGCAATCCAATGGTTGTTCATAAACTTACAAGCTTGTAATAGAAGTTTTCAGTTCATAGTTTTAAGTTTTTTTTTTTAACATAGCTCTCTAAACGCGTTGCTTGCCCACATTTTGTTCATATTGGTGTTTTGATCGACAGGTAACAAACTCCGAGATAAGCAGGTGGACATTTTATTCGATGATGTGGGAGAGCATGGAGGATTTATCAACACTGCAGGTGATTGGCTCCACTAATCTATAAAAGCCTGTGAATACTAATAAATGCCTGGCATTACTAAACACTCTCCTTGCGGACCGTGTTTGAGGGTGCTTCGCATATGAGAACGTTCAATCACTATCAACCGTTAGCTGTACAACGGGCCAAAAATTTATCCGTTAGGTGTAAAAGTTGGAACTTATGCGTCCCATGGCGCCATTAAGACAGATTATGATGTAAAAAAATATTAACCGTAAAAAAAAAAAAAAAAAAAAAANAAAATAAAAAAATAAGCAACGAAAGTGAGTCTCAAGATCTCTTGTCAAGACTTTTGTGACGTTTAGTTTTCGGACACTTTTATCACATTTCGGACAAATTCTGGACATAACTAAAACATAGCTAGCTAAAATAAGTTTACGCCTACAAAACACGAATTAGACTGAAACAACATCAAAAGATGATGTTTTACTACAGCCTCGAGGTTTTACGAATAAACCGACGAGAAAATAACGCAAACTGTGTCAAGGCGTCGCGAATGTCAAGTAGTGTCCTAGCTAGAGTTCGCTCCGTAAAGCGGCATAAGGGAAACTTAGCGCTTTGAAGCTACTTTACAGCTCTGTACTGTACTGTAAATATTTCGGACGCTTAAAAATTTCGGACGGTTTTATTTCGGACACTTTTTTGTCCGAAACTAAAATCGTCCGAAAACTTCAGTTGCAAGTGACGTACCCACCGAAAGACTTTCGCTATGTGATTTATACAATAACGCTTTTTTGTTTCTTTTGTTTCATAGACTTTGTCAACATGGTTATGTCGAACTAGGCAAAGGAAAGTAATCTCCGTCGTACAAATATCTGAAGCTTCTCTTTAACATTTCAGCTCCATATGATCGATCTGTTAGCAATCTAATGGTGTCAAAATGTACTTCTTTTCTGATTTACTGCCCTAACGTGTTGGATAGAGAAACAAAACGGTCACAAACATGTCAAGTTAGCACTTGTTTGTTCAATAAAGTGATTGAAACTTTAATTTTCAATGTGGTTGTTCATTCTCTTCTTTATTGCGAATTACTCAAGAAAACGCTCCATAACAGTCAGCCAACGCCGTTGTTGTAAAGTATCGCAATACAACCCTTGTAGTTCCTGCCTGCACGTATGCACACGAGCAGAGGGGATCTCTTTTTCCTGAGGCAGCGTCCACACTGCGTCGCAGGAATTTGAAAGCGCAGCTTTATTTCTACGGTTAGGCCTACCGTCCACACAAATCCGTCACGAATACGGGGCTTTTGGAAAACCGCGCCCTTCAAACCGGAGGAATTTGAAAACGCTGGCTTTTCATTTTCGTGTGGACGGAAAACAAATATTTTGTAAACGGAGCTTTTCGAAAATCATAGCGTCGCGCTGATGATGTGATTTCGCTGACCGAGTTTTTCTCAAACACGAATCCAAAATGGTCGGTGATTGTTGCGTTTTTAAATTCCTCCGGCGTAGTGTGGACGGAAAACATTTGATGCGTTTTCAGAGTGCAGCCTCCATTTTCAAATTCCTTCAGCGTAGTGTGGACGGGGCCAGACTGGAGTACGCACGCTAATTAAGCTAGGGTCAATGAAATAGGCGGCAATATCCATGTCGCCTAAAGTTTTGCGAGAAAGGCTTTTACGCCTTCAAGCACGTTCACTTTCACAAAAATAAAACTCAGTTTCATTTGGAAGGTTTTGAACCTGGATTTACCATCAAACACTAGTAAACCGCACTGAACTGAAGCCTTTCTTGTACAACCTGTCCTTAAAATCTAAGTTCACGCGTCCCGTTTCGCGAATGAAAAAACGGGCAAATAAAGAAAACTGCTTTACGCAGCGTAGGTGGATCGTGGGTAAGAGATGAACGAAATTAAAAAGAGAGACAAAAGACATTTGTTTCCACATTGTCCAGGCAAGCGGAATCACTGAGGCAGTATCACTAAGAGTTACTGTTGCCGATTTAGTTACCAAGGAGTTGCCCAGGTCAGTGGAGTTTTATACGATGAGTTCCGACTAACTTCCCAACTTACCACCCTATGAGCCTCGGGTCTGGGCGTTCAACCGCGTCGTAAGCCATGTAAACTCGTTCTTTGTAAACTCCCTTTGTCAAATGAGCTTCAACGTAGATACTTAACGCTTTGTCATGACATATGAACTGAACGTCGTGATGTCACACGCAGCATCAAAGAGAAACCGCTGGAATAACATATTGAAGAGAAAGATCTTCATGAAGCAACAGAAACTGGACTGCCTTGCCGTGTACAATATCTGTTGAACGAGAAATAACAAAACAAATAGCACAATAAACTCAAGATCTAAATGAAGGGTAGTAAGGGGTTACCAAGATTCGTACGGAATCAATATTTGAGCGATTTTAGCTAGAGTGTGGTTTGGATACAAGTTGAAAAACAAAAACTGAATACGAGTCTGGAAGTAACCATTGAAGTAATTTTAATCTTCGAACTGAAGACATTCATCCACAGTTGGTGTCTCCATAAATAAAAGAAACAAAATGGGGTTTTCTTTGTTTCTTACTTTTAAGGGAAAGTTACAGCAAAGCTTATCAAGGTCGAATATCAATGCAAAGGCAGTTACTGTAAAATGTACGCCTCCTAACCAACGTCAAATAACGCGACGGTGGAAATCTACCTTAACTAGGATTAATTCTCCGTAGGAATTTAGACGACCAACTTCTCCAGGTACAACAAAAATACTGGGAAACACAAAACACACTTTCTGGTCAAAATAAAATAACAATTTTTGGAAACAACTACAATTGCTGTACCTCCCAACTCAAATACGTTTTCCGACTGGAAGAGAACATGTAACGTTTCAGGGTCGAAACTCACTAACTTCCAAGGGAAACAACAAATTTAAGGGTGCGTTCCTTTGGGGTGATCTGGATCAGCATCAGTGAACCAAGATCACTCGGATTATGGTGCATCACAGGAACCAATGAATCCACTCTGGTCACGGATTCTTCGGTTCCTTTGATGATCTATGATCCGAGTGATCTTGGATCACCGATCCTGATCCAGATCACCCCAAAGGAACGCACCCTAGCTTTCGTCTCGCACGTCATCAGGTCGTGTACTTTGAAACGGCAAATTTGTGTGAGGGTCTTGGTCTTGTTGAGGGTCGCGGGGAAACAAAACTCACTGTTTCCCTTGAGGTCACTTGCTGATCCCCGATATTGAACTCGAACCCCCGATTACTCGAATCTCTCTTTTTTTTCCTTTTTTGCTTTTTTTACTCGAATCTCTCGTGCTAATCGAACCAAAGATGGATTTGCTTCTTCCATTTAATTCTAAACTCGGTATAAACTCGAACCTGTCGCTAAGTCCACTTGACCGGGACTTGATAACTTGAACTTCATTTTGTCAAAGCCTAATGAGTTGAAGCTCTCCAGAATCAAGGACAGAAACAGGTTGGCTGTAAAGTGTCAGGGACTGGTTACAGGACGTTCTGAAAAGACTGACATCAACAGTGCTTAACTTGTTGCAAACTGTTCTTCTGCTGTTGAATCGCTTTGTTGATTTCCCATGAAGGTTCAAGTTCTCGGGAGTCACTACACAACGGAAAATTAACTTTACTTACTGCATATTACACGGCTAGGACTGACTTGTTGACTGTGTAAAAAAGCGGCGAGTTTTCTGACGTCCACTCTGGCCTCGGCCATTTTGTCAGGATCTCTGTTGTGGTGTTGTGATGAGTTATCACCCTCTGCAAATTCCATTAATTCATACACTGTAAATCGATGCTAGGAGAAGAATGGTGATTGGAAGATGGGAGAGGAGAAAATACCCACACTGTCCATTCACATAGCCAGAATTTTGTTCAGGCTTAATTTTCACAGCTGCTTTAGATGTGTATCACTCATGTCTTCACATCTTTCTCTGCAGTTCAAATATATGATCTTTCATATACCCACTTACATAGTACTCCATCTTAATAAGAAGTTTCTTTGATAAACATCTGGTAATTAAACTCAGCGGTAAAAACGAACGACGTTTTGACCTTTTTCCCAGGTCAAAAATAACATACAAATATAAAAGTTTACAAAATATGCATAATTATCTAAACAATTAAGCTAAGCTTCCTGGAAAGCTGTAAGTTTAGATTATTATGCGTGTTAACATGCTCTAAGGATTTTACATTCCCAATTACTTTTTAGACTTTTATATTTGTATGCTATTTTATATTTACTTCAATAGCACTCAATCCCTGAAGAAGCAACCTATGTAAATTTCGGCAATTCTCGTACCCCAGGTAGGCGTGTCCAAATGCTTGAAATGCGTTGTGACAGATGCCATGTCTGTGTCTATTCCAAGAGTCATGTTACCACTCTGATTGGCTGCAAGTATCTAAAATGAACAATTCAGTTTGAATTATAATCACCTAGACAGGTAATACAGGGGGAGTCTACAGGGGCTTTGGAGGTGCCTTATTCTTAACAAGGCCTGTCCTGCACATGGGGAGAAGGAATTGATGATGATGATGATGATGATGATGATGATGATGATGATGATGATGACGGTGTTGGTGACCATGACGATCATGATGATTACCATGGTAACAATTACACTAAACCACTTACCAAAAAAGTGCTGAGATTCTTCATTCGTTCAATTACATTTTTCACCACTTTGAGTGATGGCATGTATATGCTAACCTTCAAAAGAAGAACAAACTCTTCAGTCTAATATATGAGTTTAACTGTGTTTTTTTTTTTTTACTATTGCATACAATACTAACATTACTTACACTACTAAGACTTCTTACAATACTAACATTATCTACAATACTTACATTACTTANTGCTGCTGTACTGGATGGTTTTTACTTTTAAGTCAGGCAAAACCCTAGTGTGACTCTTCAAATTGAAAGCCACTAAGCATAACTTTCACTCTTAAAACGAAATGTAGGTAAGTAGGTTGAGTATTGTGTCGTGTTGTAAGTAGAGTAAGGCACTGTAAGTAATTATGTGTTTAGCAATAAAAAAAAAAAGAAAAAAAAGGAAATGCTAAGAGCTGTAAACATTGTAGGTAGGTCAAGTCTGCATACGGGCAAATTGGGCCATTAGGTCAGTGCTTTTCTCCGGTTTTCAGAAGCTAGAGCGACTAGGAGTATTTGTACTCCCCCTTGAATGGGGTGCTAGTCCATCGCAGGGTTACCCCCAGCATTAAATTCGCCGGTACCCATTTATACATCTGGATAGAGAGAGGCACTGTGAGAGTAAAGTGTCTCACCCAGGAACACAACACAGGCCCAGGCCTCGAACCCGGACCGCTCGATCCGGAGCGCACTACCTATGGGGCCATCGTGCCTCTACGGAAACACTGTAAGAGTTTAAGTAATTAGTTACCTTAGGTGGACACTGTTCAAATGTAAACCTCCTCTCGAAGTTAAACTCCGGATTCCTTGTTCCAGATATGACCTCTGTCTTGATGTCCACTTCAAGATACATGGAATACTTGCAATAGACATCCTGGCAGTCCAAAACAAATGGTTTATCAATCACAATATCACACGACAGACAGTGAATAGCGCAAAAAGAAAACCAAACAAGGAAATAAAGCGGTCAGTATTTATCTTTTTTTCTCTCTTCGCGATGTCAACACATTGCGTACAAGCAAACAGGTAACCGATGAGCACAAACTATAGTGGAACCTCTATAATAAGGAAGCATACCACGGCGGCAACGGCAACGAGAACGCCGCAAAACAAAAGGTTTAATGAGTAGAACAATGGCTGTGCACGTGCGTTATAGATCTTTCTATATTTCTTAGCCGTCCTCTGCAAAACAACACCGTGAAATGACTAAGCTCTGGGTATTCTGGAAAACATGAACGTCGGCGGCTAATTTTCGACGCCTGCATTACATATTTAGCTTGAGCAAGTTCTGAGACCAATAGGCGCATGGAGGAGATCTAGACAACTGCAAAATTCGAAAATAAAATATAACTTCATTTTTACTAGACGTCGTCCTTGGCGTCGCCGTCGTCATTGCTCAAGTTCCCTATTACGAACACCAACGAGGCAGATACGACTGTCGTTGTTAGTATCCTGATCGTAACGCCTTGATTAGCCCAGTGCTACCCGCGGATCAGTCCACAATTGTATTAATTTTCTCTGGATATTGAGATAAAGAGTATGTGTATTATGGAGGTGGCCGGCTGTAAAGGAAGAGTTTATATGAATTATAGTTTTTGCTGGGACGAATTTAACTGTCCTTAAAATGTACCATACGAATATATCAGTACCAACATTAGAAGCAATTTATGATAGAGCGGTTTCTCAATTGAGTGTCGTAAAATCAAAACCAAACCAATTATTTACCAGCTAGACGACTCCGCCAATCTCAAACCGTAGTAAAACCGAAACCAAAGTAATTGCCTGAGAGCTTTCAACACTCCATTGAAAACAGCTCTGCTAAGTCACGAAGGAAAATTCATATTTTAAACTTACCGTGTATCGTTTTGGAATTCCCTTGGCGCTCTGTATACGAACCACAAAATCAAGTTTCTTTCCTTCCTGTGAAAAAGAAACATTTACCAAATTATACAAAACTCAGGTAAAAAAAGGTAAAATCTGCATACGAGCCAAGTGGCTCATCAGGCCGGTGCTCATCTCTGGTTTCAGTAGCATGAAGCCACTAGGAGTATTTCTACTCCCCCCTGGATGGGATGCTAGTCCATCGCAGGGTTACCCCCAGCATTAAATTTGCCGGTATCCATTTGTACACCTGGGAGGAGAGAAGCACTGTGAAGTTAAGTGTCTTGCCCAAGAACACAACACAACGTCCCCGGTCAGGGTCCTGTTTCTCGAAAGCCCCGGAGACTTCTCGGGCCCGTAAAGCCATTTTCAGCTCATCTGTATCTAAAAACGGAGAAGTGTATACGCCTGAAACTTCTTGTATGAAGAGAACTCTGTCCATATTAAAAATATGTGAATAAAACAGCTCTGTAATGGTAGGGTTCAAGATCTTGCTACGGCTTTCCAGGCCCGAAAAGTCTCCGGGGCTTTCGAGAAACGGGCCCCAGGGCTCGAAACCGGACCGCTCGATCAAGAGACGAGCGCATTAACCATGAGGCCACCGCATCTCCAGTGTAAAACCCAGAGCAGGGCTAAAAGGAATCAAATTTTCGAGAACGTTATCTATACTGTCCTGGGATCCTCTTGTTTGCAAGAATCGTCAAGATAAGATCACTAACAAGAAGAAACCTTGAAGTCTTTTCTACTAAGTGAACGAAGACTTAAATAAGATTGTGACTTCTTTAGCAAGGGAAGGTACACCGGACCAAACCTTACCAGTTGTCTAGGGTCGTCAATAAATATGTCATCCTCTTCTGTGATTTCTCTTCCTTTTTCATTTAACGGCACAACTTCTACCTAAAACAGAGTACACATGCGAGGTGAAACATGCTGAAACTCCAATCCATTGCCATCATGTTGTTCTCTAGCTTCGTTTTATCTCTTATTCTCTCTTTTTAGTAAACTATATAATACTCTTAAAGTAACAGAGGCTCGCCCAGAATAGCTTTGCTAGCTGTCAGCTACTAAAGGTTGTAAACTTATTACACATCAATAGAAATTACTGTTGCTGTTACCAAGAGTGCTAATCAAGGTCGTGCTTTCATTGTCAGTTTTCTTTTAATGTACAGGATTTTCTTCAAATCGAAAGCAGCCCTAAGACATAGTTTGCAATGAGAGAAAAACACCAAACAAGAAATCAAAAACGAGGAAGGAACAAGAATGGTTCAGATCCCGACAGATCACGAAGTGTAACACACTCCGCTAATTTGGGCTACGTTTTTCAAGATTCTCAACCTGTCATGTAGCTTCTTTGGTACCATGCTTCGCTAGTCTATTAAAGAGACCGCCACGGCTCTGTTATTTGAATCTATAGCAACTGTTTGCAAACCTTTCATTTAGATTCACATTGAAAGGAAGGGCGTAACCATACTTACATTAAGATAACCGATTTCTTTGCCTTTGTAGTCAGTGATACTAAGTTGTTCCCTCATGTCCAACTGAAAAGGAAAGAATTCTGGCCTTTAACTCAGAAACCACTGACACGAAAGGCAACTTCTCAGCAACAACCATCTCGGGGTTCATGCACAAATGATTTACATGTAAAAAACTAACAATGTTAAAAGTTACTGGCAGGAGCTTAATGGATCGCGACACTTTTGTTAGCGCCAAGAATCAAGACCTCTGGGGAAAAACAGGAAGGCGCGCTAGCATTAGTCGCAGCAGTTACTCTCTCTACGCATGTTCAGAGGAACACAGCGGTCAAACGTCGGGCATGCGCAAATGGGTACATATTTTGGCAGCCGCGCGCCAATTTCCCGCGCATAAATTGGAAGGAAAACATGGGAAACAACCGGTGTCACGCAAAATTTACGAAAAAAAATTGAAAAGTTCATAGAAATCTGTAAAAGGAAAAGAAAGCAGGTAAAAGGAAAACTTAAGACTTTTCAGACACTAAGTTTACTAAGTTACCGGTATTCTGTTGATTTACCATTTTGTTTTGAGCTTTACAAAAAAGTTTATAAGTCTTGAAAACCCGTGTCATGCTACAAGCCGGCGGCGTAGTATATTTTTATTTGTTTTTATTAATCATCCGATGCGTGACGCCGGAAACGGACGACAAACGGTGTGTAAAAGAAGGAAAAATGGGAGAAGAAAAAGACAATTGCAGTGATTCGGCTTTGCTCAGACAAGCTGCAGAAATTTTGGTAAGCACTGTGGGGATTCCTTCCGGATCCTGGATTTGTCTGAAGCAGAGGAGCGAGATGAATCGAAACGACAAACGATGTTCATGTCCATCTTCATGGGGGCATAGCTGGCCAAAATACCGATCCCAAACCGCCTGTACCTGGTCTTTGACCAGGTGGGAGAATCTTTTCTAAACTACAAACGTGGGAAAAACTGGTGCACTAAATGCAAAGTCCAGGCGAACAAAAAATTCAAGGAGCACGGAAAATACATACCGCGGAAAAGAAAGACCTGCAGCAAGTAGAAGGTAGAACAATTTTTAACTCTTATTTCTGTTAGCTCTCGTTGTACAGGCTAAAACATAAACAAATATATAAATAACGAGGAAAATGTCAT